TTAATTTTTCATATAGATTTTTTAAGTATCTATTCCCTGTCGATTACTAACTCTATTTTATACTGAGTAGGAAATAAAACCGAGTATACTAGTCTAAACAATTTATAGATAAATTATATTGCTAGGCTCTTCTATTCCTACAAATTTTCCAGATCGAACTGCATAGCATAAGAGGACTATTCAGTCTATGAATGTTCGAACTAATGTAAAAGTGAAGTATAAATGAAAGCAATTCCAACTTCCAAAAAAGAATGTTGTTATTTGTATTCAAAACAGCACAAAGTACCATTTAAAACATAAATTAGAACAATGATAAAATTAAACTTGAAAATAACATAAAGTAAAAATATTTTGAATATTGTTGAACCAAAACATTGAGCACTTTACTAAAGTATTTACTAAAGTAAATACAATTGGATGATGCAGAAATAAAAATATATAGCATTAAATACGTAACATTAAATCTCAGTTTCTATTATTATTACAATATTTTATTAATAAATTATTATTATGTATTATGATTTTGGACAAATAAACTTTATTCCAATTCCATTTTTTAACAGTCAAATTTTTTTTTAAAATCTATAAATATCTTTAATTTGCTTACAATTGATAAAAACGTATTTGAAACAATGAATCGGTATTGATTTTTTTTTTAATATTCTAGTGTCTTAATAAGTTTTCTTTGCTTAATGCTTAAATTTTTTATTATGTCTAAAATACATTGGAATATTTCTTTCTTTCATTTTCCAGTGGCTGTGCATGTAAGAAATAGAAATATATTCAATGCAATTTCGGATAAGCATAATATCAAACGAAAAATAAAAATAGTCGATATTACCTATAATGTTTCATATATAAAAATAAATATTCAAGTTATGTATTATATCTGGAGTATGTAAAAATTTTAAGTATTTTGAAAATTCAACTTATATAGGAACATTGCGATTTCAAAATTTTAATGAAAGCAAGATTTTATTATCTGTGAAACTTATAAACGTTAAAATGATAAATAATTAATTCTAGTTTTATTAAAATGACTAATTATGTTATGATATTGTACGTTCACATTATCTGAATACTCTTAAAATCAATCGTACTTCATGAATAGTTTTGTAGCACAAAATTTATCAGACAAAATATTAGTAATATCTTCATTGAAGTAAAATAACTCCAAACATAATATATTTAAGTATTATTTTATGTATGTATCGATTCAATTAACAAGAGCTTAACCGCTTACATTCTACAGCTAAATATTTTCTAAATATTTACAATATTTCTTATGATTATAATTCTTTATTTTTCGAATTTTTAAAACTTTATTATCTACAAAACGTTATTATCTTTTATATCTACTATAGAGTTAGATTAAATTTAATAAAACATTTTTATCATTACTTTTCATAAATAGTAAAAATAGACATATATACATTAATATACATATAACAATAGTTTTTCTATGGGTTCAATAATTCATGTTTAACGGTGTATACAAAATAAAAAAATTCTAAAAATAATTTATGTTTGAATACAGGATTGTATTATACAGATATATAATAAATAAATTTTAAAGTATAATGTTTAATAATATAATATAATAATATAATAATAAAATATGGCTCGGTAGTGTTTATATTAAATAAATACTTTATCGTGTCCAAAACCTGAAACTAATTGTAAAATAGTGAAACAAGCATTTTCATTATTAACATATGCCTTTCTGTTTAGAATTAGAGTATGGTCACCAGTTACCTGGTGAGAAAAAAAGGCTGTGCAAGTGGAGGGGGTAGCGCTTGAATTCATTATTGAACACGTCTGCTTCCGTGCTTGGTGTTTCATTTATTTTACAACTGTGCTTGTAACACTTTATACAGACAGATAATTCAATTCAGAAACGAAATATCTTTTTGAAAGCTTATACAAAATTAATATTTAATTTATTATCAGAGACATATAGGAATAATTTTAAAAACTATGAATAAAAAATAATATTTAAATATAAAATAAGTTTTTTTAATATTAAATTCTTAATAACAAATTTATACATTATACCTTTTACCATAGAATTAATAATATATTATAATACATTGAATCATATAAGAATATATAAATAATTTCATTTAAGTTTCATATTGTACGAAAACAGAAAGTTTTGCTAATTATCAATGCTCCACAAGTACATAAATTCATATTTTACGCTATTTATTTATTTATTTAATACGTTAATATTAATTCAATCTCTATTAAAATGTATTTTCATTAAGATAGATAACTGAATAAAAACTCACGATAATATAATTTTAATAAAATTTCTTGTATTTATAACAATAAATTTTTATACATTGCAGTTAATATTAAAAAACTGTTTAACGAAATAATTAATAGCAAATATTTTAAATAAATGGAGAAAGCAGTAAATACTGATTAAATTAATTGAAATTTTTCTCTTTTAAGTAAAATTTCTTTTAATTGAAATTGTGTATCTCATACAAAAATTAATTTTAGCGAATTATAATTAAATCATGTTAATTTTACAAATACTTGGTTTCCAATTTCAATTTACATCAGATTTTTTCGATTATATATAGTATTCTTCAGGTTTTAATAAGTTCTCAAAACATAGTTATTGCTGTTTTATTCTATGGCTCTAATAGATTATCTATTTTTTTTTTAAATATTAATTTTATTTAAATAATAATGAATTAACCTTAACAAAGATAATTTTTTTAATTTATTACTGAGTACATGTTTTCATATGTATTTTACTATAATTCTTGATATTTGTCTAATTTTCCCTTTTGAAAGTTCCATAATTTTTTCACATGAAAACTTTAGTATTTATATTATCAAATTTGTATTTTAGGAAAATAAAAACATTTGGGTATTTTAAAGTTACATATTATGTTTCGGAAAATATTATTAATATTTGTTAAACGATTTTATTTATGCAGTAAAGTAAGAGCTATTATTATTATTATTATTATTATTATTATTATTTTTTTTTTTATATATGTACAGCTAAAGCTATAGTTAAATAAATTTATTGCATTGAGAAGTTAGTAACTCAATATATTCTTTATATTATTAGTATAATTTTTTATCGATAATGAATATATAATTAATTTGCGTTAATTTTACATAAAGAACTTATCTAAAATTTAATATGAAATTTTTTTTAAATGTCGATCGAACCATTTTAATAATGACAAAGAAATAAAGTTTTTTAATGTTTCAAAGATCTTTAATTTCAATAATATTTGAGTTCCATGGCCACTAAAAATAAAAGTATTAGCACTTTCGATATCTCGTATCTCGTAAAGATAATATTCAATGATATCCCATATTTATTCCTGAATCTTTTTAAGAAGTACGCAAGTTGAATTCAGTCAAAATCAAACAGCTAAATATACATAATAGAACGGTATTTGTAAAAAGAATTTTCTAACATCGACAATACAAATTATTTTATAACTTCTATTTTAATACATTTTATTTTATATATATATATATATATATATATATATATATATAAATCGTTAATTTTTTATGTTAAATATTTAAATGAAAATTTCATTATGGTAGCTTAGTTGATATGTATCATTACATGTATATATAATATTGATTGCAAAATTGTTTTGTAAAGACTTTCGTAGCTAATTTTATTTTAAATTTCAATTGTAAAATACATTTTTCTTATACATTAGTTTTCTTATAAAGATAATATGAAAAATTACTTCTAATTTAAAATTTTCATCAATTCAAAACTTGTTATATCCCTTATGGAAATTTATCTGAAAAGATGTTACCTGGCGAAAATTTAATTTCGATATATTATACTAGTAAGTAAAAACTTATTTAATATAATTCATTATATTTGTAATAGAGCCATTAATAGAATATGATAAGATTCTAAAAAATATCTTTAATCAATCAAATTTGTGCATAAATTATTATAAATTTAATTTGTGATTGGTGTAATTTCGAATAAAATATTAATCGCCAGAGATATTTATGTTCTAAATAGTATTATTTATTTATATAATTCTAGTTTCAAAGTATAAAACTTTGCAGAGAATTAGCGAAATTATAAATAAGTTCAATGCATAACAATAATATTTCAGTTTCCTTAAACAAGAATGCAAAGGGCTAAAATATTTCGGCTATTTACAAATTTGTGGTATGATTTATGGTTGAATTCTAATGATAAAAGAAACAATTTTTAGAAACTATTTGATATAAACAACGTTTATTTTCTAATTAAGATATCGTGCTTCGTCATACCTCTCCTTCATTAGAATTCACGAGGCTTTATATTTTCAGAGTAACAACTGGTTACGACAACGCATACATTATGAGTGCATGTTGCTGTACTCCTAATTTCATCTAAGCTCACTGTGGGAAGTTGAAGGTAGTTTTGCTCCTGTGCACTTTATACACCCCTTATTGCGACGAATTGTACCCATGGCCAAACTAAATTCGAGGGTGTTGCAAAATAGTTTTGACTCGATGAAGTTTTTACTCAATAAGCGTCTACATCATGGAGATCATAATTTTTACAATTTTAAACCATAATAAAACACTATACATATAAAACTTTAACAGTTATTCAGTAGATTTGTCAGTTACGAATAATTTTATATAACATAAATATACACCATAATATTACAAATGTATAAGAATAATAATTTTCTTTTGAAATTGAAACTAATTCGATACTTGAATCGTTTTATCATTTTTCTTCAGAATGCTATTATGACATAAGACGCATGTGTGTAACATCATAATGTATCATAACATATTAATTAATTTAGCTAAAAGCCTTCAGTATAAATAGGAATGACGTATTCCTAGATACTATAATGAAATTTTAATCAACTTACTATTAAATATTATTCAACTTACTAAATTATATTTTATTATTTAAATATTTTAAATGAATTATGTATGGTGCGTCGTTTAAGCATTGTCAGACACAATAAGTAAAAAATTCAAAAGACTTACCAAGTTGGATGGCTCGCCTGTTGTGGAATGGAAAGTAGTGGTCCTAGCGGTATGGAACGTCGAACCGATTGACAACACGTTGCTCTTTGTCCAGGTGACGCATCGATGCAACACGCTGGTTGCTGCTGTGGTTTTTGTAATTGTTGTTTGTTCATGTGTCGTGGCGTATTAATTGCATTGGCGGTTCTCTTAAAATCACCAGAACTTGTACGCAACTTAAATCTCATTAAAGGTGAGGTAGAGAAACAATCTCTTTGCGTGGAAGTTGAGCTGCTGGAACTGCTAGAACTGGGTGAGCCACCAATGTGACCAGGTGATTGATAGGCAAAGCCACGAAATCGAAAATGACTATGATGGGGATAAGGATAGCCGGCAGGTAGTGGTAGTCGATAGTGATTGTGAAATCCCAAATCCCGGCGTATATACGAATCTCCAGGATCTGTCGCTAACACGTAACGATCGGCAGATGTTCCAGATGGTACATACCGATCAATGTATCTGTCAGGGTAGAGCACCTCTACTGGTGGTTGTGGAACATATCTAGAAAAAAAATTGTTTTATAAATATAAATTTTTCAAAACTTAAATTTTTAAACTCTACAATACAAAAAAGAATACATTTGAACATTTATTACCTTTCTACTGGGGTATGGGCCGTAGGAGGGATGTAACTATTATTAGACGCGCGGTTTTGTTCTGTGGATCCTGATAAAATTGATACACAAGAACTCGTAATGCATCCACCTACGCTATATCGATCCTTTGACTTTGGTAAAGACAAATATTTGTCCGAAGTATTACAAGTTGTCGGGAAACGTTCAGTCGTTGTACAGTGGTATCTATTATTAGAACTTGCAGCTTGAAACCGTGCATCGCCAATTACATTGCTAACGTTGAATTTGTCGATATCATAACGATCCGCTTGAGTCGAGGACACAGAAGTGTAGTTTCCGCATTCGGAACCAGCGGCAGGGTAGCTTTGTGTCGATTTGGATAATTGGTGATGGTACTTATCTGCCGCAGATTGTTTGGAAGACTGCTGAGAGTAGCAGCTAGCTGTCTGATCTACTGAATTCGTGCTATCAGGTGTGGGTGAAAGTGTCGTATATCGCGTTTGCTCGCTAATGCCCGTTGATTGTGTATTTATATTGTTACTGCTTAAATTATGAAGTTGATGATGTGAACCACGACTTGCTGCGTCGGTCAATAATAACGGAGACGACAATGAGCTGGATGAGTATCTGAAAACGTATATTAACGTATTATATTAAACGTATATTCATTATTGAGTTCATAACAGATATTTATAGCATGTAATAATACTTTTATCTAAACAATAATGACATACTTTAAAAATATATAATTGAAAATGTAAAATTTTGTTGGTTAAATAAAATACAACATGCAAATAGAATTTTTTTAATTTAAACTACAAACTATCTATAGTAATACGATTAATAGCTTAATTGTATTAAAAATAAGTAGAAAATTTATTTTTAAATTATAGACCTGATTAGATCACCACCGGTTTGCCTGACATCATGATTTGCATTGGAATTACTTGGCAAATATCGTTCACTACCACTAGAGAACCTATCGGTTGGCCTGGTTTGAGAGTATCTTTCTGCGACTAAGTTATTGAATCGATCACCTATATTGGTGTATCGTTGAGTAGCTAAGCCACTACCAGCATTATCCTGATATACCGGAAATCGGACAGAAAATTCCGTAGGTACTTGCAAGGCCGACGTTCTAGTATCCGCATACTTTTGGCTCGTGGTTTCGACATTTCTATCTGTCGAGTATTTTCTATTGACATGATCACCATTCCCATTTGTGGAGCTAATTGAGGTCGCCAATATCCTTTCATTGGAAGAGTAACGTTGATGCTGCGCTTCCATATTTAACGGACTCGAAAGGAATTTCTCTGTGGTACATGCAATATTGCCAAAACGATTATGGTGGTATTGTTGCTGTTGTTGTTGCTGCTGTTGATGTTGCACCAATATTTCATGGTCTTGGTAACTGCCATGCTCGTTGGACTTACTTCCAGCACTGGAAAATCTCTCTGGTACAGGTACATGTATCGGCGAGGATGAGAGTAACCTTTCGGTTGAACAGCTATCGTAATGAGCAGTAGAGGAGGATCCAGAGATGTCCTTAAGGCTGGACGAGCCATAGACGCATCGCTCTGTGGCTGACAATACATCCAATACCGGCGATGCCGAAGAGAGTAGTCGCTCGGTTGAAGAAATAGAGTATTGTTGTTGATCCTTGGCTTCCACGACTGATGATTGTGCGATGGATACCGTCGATGACGAAGTGGCAGTAGCCAGTAATCGCTCAGCCGAGGCGAATCGTTGTTCCTTGGAAGATATTGGAGATGGAATAGTGGGATAGTTAGCCAAAGATTGTGAGGATGCATATTTTTCACTGGCACTGGGTGAAAGCGGTGGTGGAGGAATAAACCGATCGCTGACTGGCGCAGGAGAAGGAGGCGACGGGAAAGTTTCGGAACCGAAAGGATTACCACCAGTAGATGCAGCGACAAGAACACTAGAGTTAGCATACTCAGTGTTGTTATTACTATTGCCAATTTGTTTCTGAGATTGATGACAGCGTTCGGTAATAGAAGACAGTGGCTGGTAACTTCGATAATCGAATGCTGACGAGTTACTAATGTTCGAAGACTGCTTTGTTTGATCGCTGCAAGTGCTGCCGATTTCTGAATATCTGGTGAATCGGTAGTCAGAGAGACGACTTTGTGACATTGGTTGGCAGAGCTGTCGACCAATACCGACTGAAGTGTACTGGTAATGCGACTGATCGTTACTCTGTAAAGAGGTACGATGTTGATCCTGACTAGCACAGGAGTATGATACATTAGGTGATGGCTGATGCTTATAGCAGTCAATAGAAGCGCTGCTGGAAACCGTTACTCCATGGAGTGGAGAATCCGGTACTGGTTGACCGTATTGTCCGGTGGAATGTTGGTCCAACAGGTGGCGTTCTTTTCTGCCATAGTCGTCGTCTGCCGACATCCTGGTGGCCCGGGGCCCACTGTCAGGACATCTATAAAAATATTAATAATATTTTATCATAATGTTATGTGATATATTAGGATTTCAATACAGTTCACATAAATAAAACTTTATATTAGGCTTTGAATTTAATGTAAAATGTTTCAAAATCATTAATAATAGCCACGCTTTTTATTTTGCATATATTCGTATGTACCACCGATAAGGTAATCATACTTTTTTCTAAAAATGTATGGTAAACAATAATTTTATAGATTCTTCAGGAATTATATTTTAATAACATAATATAATTGTAAATTTATAGTATATTTTCTATATTTTTTTAACATTAAATCAATTTTATATTATCGTAAGTAGTAATTTAAATAAAACTTTTCAAACGATGTGAAATTAAAAGATTTCAACTAAATATGCTTGTAATAAATCCCATATTACTTAATAAATTTCAACAAACTTATGTAGCTTGTCAAAAATTCCATATATGTACAGCCAGTAGGACGCGAATTTGTGTTTAGTAACTGAAACGAAAATTAAAACTGATGACATGTACAAATTAAGCGATAAAAACCATTACTGCCATCTTCATATTATCGAATAAATATTTAACGCGAAAATGCTTTTATTATTTTCTCTATCAGCTATACACGACTGATATCACCATCAAATAGAAAAATTATCTGAATTCTAAAACACCCTCTTGAAACCTTTATATAAGTGCGTTAGCTGGCGTATTTGGCAGTTAAGCCCTAAACTTGTATGTAAACAGGCTATAAAATAATAGTGTGTCGAGCGACATCGACATTAGGTACGACGCGCAAACGTTTTGCAGTTTCTGTTCGATCGTGTACTGCATAATCAACCGTAATTAATCAAAACGCACATATAGTAATGGCTGCGTTAGGGCTCGATTCTTCAAAATTATTTTGGATCAGAAAAATATAGAGGAAAGCCACGAACTAGTAAGCGGCTTTTCGCGTATGAGTCCATTCTCATACATTCTCATAATTTCCATGAAATTTTTTGTTAACTTTAAAAATTAAAGTTTAAAAAACCTTTGCCCATTCTTAATTAAACTACATGAACGTATCACATACACATCGTTGAAAACATATACTTAGTGGATTACATGTACCATTGACAAAAGCGTGAAGTAAATCATTATAACGTGCAAGTTCTCTATCAATTCACGTTTTTAATATTGGTGAATGTAAATAAAAAACACGCGCTCACGCATATTTACATAAGAAGTGATACAAAAAAAGGTAAAAGTTTACTACCAGGGTTTTCTCTTATTTTTATGATCATTACTTTCCATCGTAGATCTCAATAATTTATACATTTAACGTAAAATATAATTGAAAGTTTTGATAAAAACATAAAAAATGCAATCAAAATTACAGATAATTCTTTAAGTTATACTTGAAGAATTTTAGTTTGAATTAAGGGAGTGTAAAATATTTTGATGAGATTGTTGAATTAAAGAAATATTGAGGGTATTAAGATATGTACGATATTGAATTAAATATAGTTAAGCAACAAACTTATAAGCATTTTTATGTGAAATATAAAAAGAAGTTTAATACAATGAATCTGTCAATGAACAATGGTTAATATATGTTAATTTTAATTATTACTTGCTAAATTCTAATTAAAAGTTTTCTTAATGAAAAACAACGTTGCAATATTAATATTTTACCCCATATAAATAAAACGTTTATTTAAAAACAAGCATGAATAATATAATTTAGATGAAACTGCATCCCAATAACGTTTTCGTATTTAGTTTTAAATAATTCATGAAAATAAAAATGTTTTCTTCCTTTAAAAGTACCATCAAGAAAATGTTCCGCTCTTTGGCAATCACAACTGTTTATTTCTCTGCCCCTCTCTTTCCAATATGAACAAATGACACAGAATTGATCGGAGTGTTTATACTTTCACCATGGCAAATTAATTTTTCTGCATGCTGCAAAGAATTGAGCGATCCAATTCAATTGTCGTTCGAGTTTTCATAGAAGTTTACGGCTCAATAGCTGAATCACAAACATAAATTTTTATTTATAATAAAATATGTTTATTATTTATAATAAAATATGTTCACTACAATAATTATTGTTTGTAGTTTGTGTTAATTAATGTACAGTACGTAGACTAATTTATTTAATATCAAGATAAAGTTTAATTTTTCTATAATTGTTATTCTCAATGAAAAGAACATTATGATTCAATAATTAAATTTTTTAATTCCTGATTTTATATAAAATTATTTCTTCACAAAATTAAAAGATAAATTTTCTGTATAATATTTTGAATAATATATATTTCGAATGATCTGATACAAAAAACTCAAAATTAATTAATGATCGAATAATAAAAATGTTAAAAGTTATACTATAGATATTGTTTATAAAAAACAGTTTACAAAAATGAAATATTGTTAAAAATGAAAAGAAGAAAGTCAAAGGCAGAAGTGCACAAAAACCGTAAAAAAAAAGAGTGAAAGCAATTTATAAAGGTTTTCCAAAGTAAATTTGGATCTTTACGGATGTATCATTTATAATAAAAAAATAAATAAAAGTACAGAATTGTACGAATGGTTATGTAAATATATTTATGATATAAGAACATATCAGATAAGCATACAAGATAACTATATTAATTATTGTATTTATTATTTTAGTTATTATCTATATATTATCTAATGTTAACGCCAGTTTATATTATACAAGATATAAAATCTATAAAATTAAAATTGAAATTAAAAATATAAAATCTAAACTAACCAACACAAATGAAAATAAGCACTTTTTAGTACATCCATAAAAATTATAAAATATAAGAACAAAATAAGTTAATAATATATCAATCACTATATTGATAATAATAACTCATTAAGAAGCCGAAAAGAGTCGTCAGTGAAAAATACTTTGGCAACCTATGAATTAATGAATAAGGGAAAAGTTAAATTAATGTTAAATAATAAGCATATCTTCTATAATAAGAACTGAGTGTAATATAATTTTATTGGAAATAAAATAACATGACTAGAAGATAAAGATTATGTTGGTAATGCTAAAACCTAACTTGAGCAAAAAATATAATATTGCGAATACACTTTATGAACATCCAGAAATCAAAGCTACCTTAGTCAAAGGCAACTTTAAATAATACAGATAATATAAACTTTTAAAATTAAAAATCTGACGACAATAAGCAAAATAAATATTATTATTTTACCATGTAAAAAATATTAAATAAATAAATATTGGGCAAAAAACGGTATCATTACTTCATCTGAAATTCTCAAAAGAAGTTTATTAATATGGAAATGTATACCTCATAAATATCATACTAACTTAGTAAAAATATGTAGTTAAAATATAAATAAATAATAGATAATCATTATAATATAATCATTTAATAAAATAATACCTGTTTTATAATACTTTTAATATACTATATTATAAAATTTTCAATTAATGTGGATATTCCAATAATAACTAGAGATTGGTATGTTAATTAAAACTACGAGCCTACATGAAATTGGAAAATATAAATTATTAGTTATTGCTAATAGAGATAATCATTCTGATTTTGTTAATTACTAAAAAAAAAATTGAATTACAATATCATATCATTGCAAAAAACTTTTTTTGTAATATAATTTATAAAGGAATATGTAGAATAATTTCAACTTAAATTTCTTTTGGTTTGCGCATATTATTTAAGAAATCTATTATTTTCCTCTATTATTTTTTTGTTTTTAACTATTTCTATTTCTATATCTATTAAGAAAAATAAATGCTCATTTTAATAAACAAATGTAACTTAACTCTATGGAACTAAAATTTGTTATACCTAAATTTAATAAAAAAAAAAAAAGTTATTTAACTGTATGAAATTCGAATTTTTTATAACAAAATTTCGAAGAGCAAGCAAAAAATAAAAAGAAATTGGTAAAGTTACTGTTAGACCAGCAAAAACCCTTGAAAAACATTCAGCTTATGTTTTGTCGTATAATCCGGTAGGTAGGTCTTAGAGATGATTGTTGTGCGACGACAAAAGTCGTTCATACAATAGTTGGATACATAGTAACTTCTTAATTAATCAGTTTTAATTAAAAAGTGTGCTCTAAAGAATAAAAAATACAAATGGAAGATGGAAAAATTAACAGAGATGAAAAGAGAAATAAAAACATACAACCTTCTCTCATACATATTTAGCATGATTCATGCAGTTTTAAAAGTTCAAGAATAAGAAAATTAGATACTATAATATATTATTTTAATGAACGATGTGAATATAAAACTAATTAAAAATCTTCTTCATAAATTGATTACATTTTTTAATACTAATGCCTTAATGTTCATTTCAATAAGATAATAAATTTTTATATTTGTATTACAATATATTTGTAAAACTGATGTATTATTTTCAAAATTAATTTATTAATTTATTAAAAAATAAAATTTAATTGTGAAAACAAGAAAAAAATAAGTAAATCTTTGATACTATTGATCAAATAAAAAATTTTCCTTAATATTAATATATAAAATAATATCTCGTCAATTTATATATTCCACTTAAACTACTTCGATGTAATATTTACATGTTTACTTAATTTTAACTGTGTACGTTCGTTTGAACAAATTTTCTAATTAACAATCACTCAAATATTTCATGAAAAAATGTACGAATATGACAAAATTTACCACATGTTTTGATGATCA